AATCTTTCTTTATCCCCCTCTCCAATTTCCTTCTCTCCCCCCCTCCCAATCTTTCTTTATCCCCCCTCTCCAATTTCCTTCTCCCTCCCAATTTCTTTCTTTATCCCTCTCCCAATCTTTCTTTATCCACCTCAATTTCCTTCTCCCCCCTCCCAATTTCTTTCTTTATTCCCCTCTCAATTTCTTTTTTTATCCCCCTCTCCAATTTCCTTCTCCCCCTCCCAATTTCTTTCTTTATCCCCCTCCCAATCTTTCTTTATCCCCCCTCCAATTTCTTTCTTTATCCCCCCTCAATCTTTCTTTATCCCCCCTCTCCAATTTCCTTCTCCCCCTCCCAATTTCTTTCTTTATCCCCCCTCCCAATCTTTCTTTATCCCCCCTCTCGAATTTCCTTCTCCCCTCCAATCTTTCTTTGTCCCTCCCAATCTTTCTTTATCCCCCTCCAATCTTTTCTTTATCCCCCCCTCCCAATCTTTCTTTATCCCCCCTCCCAATCTTTATTTACATCCCCCCTCCCAATCTTTCTTTATCCCCCTGTCCTTACTACCTCTGTTGTGGCGTGGCGAGCTCTGTATGGTCATGGTGCAGAGGAACTTTGACTTCATGCCGGCCGGACTAAAAGGAAGTGAACACTCAGTATGCACTTCCTGTTAGTCCGGCCGGGTACAGGAGACAGATGCTCCCTGTACCCACGGACTATGATACAGAGCTCGGCCACGCTACAGTGAGGGAGTGACAGGAGGGAGCGCTGCCCTCCTGTCAGCCCCTCTCCTCATGCTGCGCCCGGGCGGGTAAAGCTGCAGCCGCCTGAGGCTCTCTATAGAGCGCTGGGGCGGCTGTAGCATGAGGGGGGCCAGCGCTCCTGGCGGCGCCCCCTCCCAAGGCACTCCCCACCCTGGTGGCACCCGGGGCGGATCGCCCCCTCTGCCCCCCCTTAGTACGCCACTGGCCTTCCAGCTAAAGTGGTAGAGGTTAACACAGTGAGGGAGTTTAAGCATGCGTGGGATAGGCATAAGGCTATCCTAGACTTAAGATAAGGCCAGGGACTAATTAAAAGTATTTTGAAAATTGGGCAAACTAGATGGGTTGAATGGTTTTTATCTGCCGTCACATTCTATGTTTCTATAATTGACGAATGTTGTAAAAAAGTTTGGCAGTTTTCAGAACACTCTTCTAATGAGCTATGTGAAGGAAATCAAACAGATTTTAGAGAAACATAATTTGAATTAGTTAAACTAATAAAAGTCAACATTCGCTACATAGATTATATAAACAATACATAAATCAGTGGGGTGAATATTTTTCCTGCTTAAAATTTTATGAGATTTGCCAATAATTTGTGGCAAATTAAAATCTGGAATTGTGAAATTTCCCCAACTCAGCTGTGTTCACAACTTGGCTATTTTGGTCTTAATTTTGCGATCTGGATTTCTGGATATTTGCTACATTATTCTCCAGCAATGTATAGATTAGATGCCTTATAGTTTTTAAATAATCAATAATTAATTTGGCTGTATAAGTCAACACTATCTGGCCCTCTTAACCCAACATGCAGTGTTTCATTTTTTTTGCTGCTCATGATGTAATGAGTGCTGGTCTGTCCTTTTTTATTTTTTTCACATTTTGTTCTATTGCAGTCTTATGTTAGAATTGTTTAAATAATTGCTTTTTTATATCCCTGATCAACCAAGACACCAAGATTCTGGCAAAGATCCTAGCTGAACGGTTAAATTTCTTCCTGACATGTTCGGTAGACACCAACCAAGTGGGCTTCATCACTGGTAGGCAATTGGTCCTTTTAGTCCATAGTACCTCCCCTTTAAATAATGCTCTCCTGGCAAGTCGGGAAGTATGGTAAATCGTTAGTGTAAGTTGACCAGGAGTTGGGTCAGGATGCGACCGAGTCAGAGTTCCATGTACTTTGGGGCTTGGTCCCACTGGGGATCATTCAGCACTTAGAAACCGATTGCCTGCCACAGAAAAGCGCTTTTGAAGGTTTAACAACACTGAGACGAGATAGTGAATTAGCTCTTTCAGGGGTAAATAAGTTTGAACTGGTCCATGTTTCACCACATCTTTCTTTTTATTCTAAAGAATCTTCTATTACTAGTCAAGCGATTCACTGCTCAACTCACCCCTACTTTCTTTTACATGCCAGTTGCAGTGGTCAGTTTCGTAAAGTAATTTAACATGAAAAGGTTAAATGCATTTTTAGAAAGGTTCCAGGATTTACATGCTGATGCACGTAGGCACACAGTCTCTGTGCTTTATGTGCATTATGGTCAGTCATGCATTGAGGAGCTCAAGTACACATCCCAGACAAGTGAGCAGACCCGATTTTCCAGAAATTGCCATAGCATTCAGTGTTTAAAGTACAATTAAGGATTATGGACAAATGAGGATCAATGTGTTACATTTAAACACTGTATGAGTTATGTTCAATGCTCCTTTGACTTTTCTTTTATCCCTACAGTATCTCTTGCTATCCCTAAATAGAGCCTCAGATCAATTTGTCGGTAGCTCTATCTATACACACTAATAGCAATTTCCTAACTAGTTATTACATGATTATGGTATCTACACAATTCACATTTATCTACTGCACCTCCTCGCTTTAAATAAAGAGATATGAAGGTATGGTAATTAACAGATCTACCAGATCCACATGTTATAAATCTTGTGGTCAGCCCAGGAAATGTGTGCAGGACAAGGGAAGCACATGTTAAAAACTCCACCACTGCCCCCACTACTCTCAGCACATTGTGAACAAGTCTGTCATCCAAACATTAAAGACCATACTTTTGTTAGGGGAATGGATGTGCATCGGGGCATGCATAGGGCACTTTAACATTATACTGTCTGAATTTGGAAATATCTCCCCTAACCGGAACACATGTATCATCTGCATTGATCCCGCCCTCTGTCAAATGTAAAGAACTTGACTCCTCACTCACATGGCAGCACTGCACTGGAAGTGTGTGGGGTTTTTTTTGTGTATCAGAGAACCCCAAAAAATGGTTTTGTAGAGAGTTTCATAGAGAACCATTTGATTAGACTGACAACTTAGGCTCAAAAAGTATGCTCTGAGCTGAGGAGCAGGGAGCAAGCAATTTTTTACACAGAATAAACATTATGTAATCCGGAACAGAATGAACAGTCCGGAACAGTCCCCAAATTATAGATTACTCTGTATTCGAAGCATTTTAAGCACATACAGATTGCTTTCTCTATGACCACTTCTAAAAGCAGCAGTGGATATGCAGGTTGGAGTAACCATTTAAGAACAGCAGTTTTTTTGTTGTTTTTGTAATCCATCTAGTTGTGGTATTTTTTTTCAGTATAGGGTAGACAATGGTGTGACCTGCATACATGTGCATAGAAGGTGTCTCACAATGGGACCTTGGGGAACTCCACATGAAACATTGAGTGGGTTGCCAATACTCATATTGTGTTGGATCTAATAAATAAGAGCTGATCCAATTTCAAGGGATTCTCTAGTGCCAGGAAAACATATTCGTTTTCCTGGCACTGCAGGAACCTCTAGTGCCCCTCTACCTCCCACCCCCCATCCCAAGTTGCTGAAGGGGTTAAAACCCCTTCAGTGACTTACCGGAGTCTAGCGCCGATGTCCCTCGGCACTGAGTCAGGCTCCGCCTACGCTCCTCATCAGCCGGCGGGGGAGACATACTGCGCATGCGCAGCCATCGCCTGGTTTTACCTAATACGCATGCACGGCAATGGCTGCGCACACGCATTACACCTCCCCATAGGAAAGCATTGAATAATGCTTTCAATGCTTTCCTATGGGGATTTCAGCGACGCTGGAGGTCCTCACATAGTGTGAGGACATCCAGCGTAATTTGAAACCACTTTTAGTGTTCTATGAACACGGAAGTGTCCTCTAGTGGCTGTCTAGTAGACAGCCACTAGAGGAGGACTTAACCCTGCAATGTAAATATTGCAGTTTATGAAAACTGCAATCATTACACTTGCAGGGTTAAGGGTAGTGGGAGTTGGCACCCAGACTACTCCAATGGGCAGAAGTGGTCTGGGTGCCTGGAGTGTCCCTTTAAGGAAGGTTCACCTATGCCTGAGATTTTATGTTCATTTAACAAGATGTAAGGGTGCATATTATCAATATTACCTAATGCCTTTGTAAAAATCTAAGTAAACAGCTCCAGTACCTTCAACAAATACCAAGCCTTTCAGAATGGCATAGTAAGCTTTTTAGGAGCGCAGATATGGCAGAGTGTTTTGACACTACATTGAAGTACATTCAGAAAGTTTTTCATTTGTTACTATCTGCATGGTCGCACTTGGGCACATTTTTCCAAGATTTTAGATTTTAGTACGGAAAGAATTAATATGGGTCTGTAGATTTATGCTAAAGTGTCAGGTTTACAAATTAGTAATTCTGTATGGGTGCGGAATTGGCTGCCAAGCAGAGAGGAAGCAGAAGGCTAAATCTCTCCTGAACCAATCCGGATTATCGACAATATTAGCAGCTATATGTGCTATATTAACATATCATCCCTGTCTGGGGGTTAGCTGAGGAACACAATGATGCCAAAAAAGGTGCCCCACCTTGCTCGTATGCAGGACAGAACTGTTATCGGCCTACTGACTGACATAGTGCAGGGGGGAAGGCCGCTCTCCTGTAGCCAGCATAGTTGGTCAATCACACCAGCCAACCTCTTTCCCCCCCATTCTGGTCCCCACCTTAGTGGTGCTCCCTCAACAAGCCACCAAGCTATGAAAAAGCTGATAGAGTCTCCAAGAGCACCTACTAAAATAACAGATGCCATGGGCTCTCCTAAGTCTAGCTAGACAAAATCTTCACCAAGATTTGGCTGCTGCTGGATCAACAGCTGCACTTTCCTGCAAGACGTGGGCAGAATGACCACTTACCCAAGAGGTCGCCAGTGAAACCCCAGCATAAAACACGAGCCCCAGCTCCAGGAACAGCCCAACAGAGGGGGAGGAGACCAATACACCACAAGATGGCGGAAGCAGAGACTTGCAAATTGGTGACCACAGACCCCAATCCTGACCATTACCGAAAGAGGTGCCGGTGGTCTGCAGGAATCCACACAACAACAGCGAAGTGCAACTCTCCTGTGTCCTGCCGTGTAATATGGATTAGTGCTAAGGATTTAGCCGTCACCACAAAGCGACCCGACATTTCTGTTCCCATTGGCCTACAAGCCTACCACAAATACTACCATGGAGGGACTATGCTCAATCCCTGCAGGGAATAGGGAGAGGAGTACAGGGTCCGGAGCTTATCTCGGGCATGATGTCTCATTACTATCCCTCATTTTTATACCTACTGAGCAATTACAACATTATGTTTTGTTTCACTTTTATTTCATGTTTCTTTCACCTATTACTTTGTAGGGCAAGAGCTAACATGACACAGATCTATTAGAGGCCTCTTATCCTGGCACTTAAGCAGAGCTGACTTTCCGATGAGTTTCAAGGGGAGCTCCAACATTCCTTCTGCAGGAATTTCTATACTCTATCTGTAGGTCAAGGGGTTCCTCTGTCACACAGGGTTAATTAGCTAAGATGCCACCTATGTCACACTTCAGAGTTTATACCACTAGTCAAATATCAATTGGTTAATTACTACCCTCTGCCATTATGGCAATTACCAGCAGACTGGGTGCTGCTAATAGCTCAGTACTCATGTACCCATGTAAGTGAAAACACAACTTATCCTGTCTACAGGGCCGGCGCTACCATGAGGAGGCCGCCTTAGGTAGCACTGGTCCTGGGGGTGCAATGTCAGGCTGCCCGACAGGAAGGAAGCGCTCTGTGTTCACCTCCTGCTGGTTACTTTATGAAGCGTGGCAGAGCGCAAGCATCTCCCGTCAGCGCAGCCCAGGTCTTACCGCCCTCCCAGCTACCTCCCACCTGAGGAGACTCCTACACTGGTGTCTGGCGCAGGCTATGTGGAAGGGACGGGGATATGAATTACATCATATACCTGCTCCCTGTGTACCACTCAGCGCAGCTGGCACCCTATGTATGTATGTACGTCTCTGTGTGCATATATGTATGTATGTCTCTGTATGCATGTATGGCTATGTATGTATGTTTCTGTATGTATGTCTCTGTATGTATGCCTGTATGTATGTATGTCTCTGTGTGCATGCATGTCTGTATGTATGTCTCAATATGTATGTATGCATGTCTCTGTATGTATGTCTCTGTATGCCTGTATGTATGTCTCTGTGTGCATGTATGTCTCTGTGAGCCTGTGTGTATGTATGTCTCTGTATGCCTGTCTCTGTATGTAAGCCTCTGCATTACTGAAATAAATGAACTTTTGCACGATATTCTAATTTTTCGAGTATCACCTGTATGTGCCTGTATGCCTGTATGTGTCTGCATGCCTGTATGTCTCTGTATGCCTGTATGTCTGTGTCTGTATGGCTGTATGCCTGTATACCTCTGTTTGTATATATGTACGTGTATATGTCTCTGCATGTGTGTATGTCTCTGCTTGTATATTTCAGTGTGACTGGGTCTGTATGTCTCTGCCTGTATTTCTCTGTGTCTGTATGTCTCTGTATGATTATGTCTGTGTTTGCATGACAGTGTACCTGTATGACTTTGTTTGATTGTGTGCCTGAAAATCAATGCCTGTGTGCCTCTATGATTCTGCAAGTATGTATGTATTTTTGACTGCATATCTATGTCTACATGGCTTGGGAGAAAAGACACACAAAGGGATCTGGAGGGGAGGGACAAACAAAAAGGACTAAGGGAAGAAAGTGCAACACAGAGGGACAAAGAAAGGGGCTATGTGCATGGGCGTCCGCAGGAATTTTTCCAGGGGGGGGGCATAATTGTAATGACATCCATGCTTGGTACCTTTTTGACAGTGTCATGAAAGGGAAGGGGCATAGCCATTATCACATAAAGCCAGGGTGAATAGCGTTTTCACAACTATGATGTCAGGAATATATGTTTGTATTCCTGACACTATAGTGTTCCTTTAAGCAAATTAAAGGACATTTCTGGTCACCATAACAACTTCACCTAAATGAAAATGCTATGATGCCAGGAAGCCCCTGGGTGCTCGCTTTCCTTTAAGGGGTTAAATCGCTCTCAAATGGTTTAACCCCAAAGGCTTCCTCCAGCTCCAGGTCGCTCAGTGGTATTTGGCTTCTGAAACAGAGTGTCAGGAAGTGCAGATTGACGTCAGGCATGGGTGCCGCTGATTGGCTAGAGTGGTCAGTTGACGCTCTAAGCCAATCGCTAGTTCCCGGTTCATAAAATATTTTTACTTTTTTATGAATGGGGAGCTACTGATTGGCTTAGAGTGCCAGCTGACCGCTCTAGCCAATCAGCAACACCCCTACCCAACGGCACTCTGTGCTTCCTGACACTCAGTAAATAAAAGTGAACACATTAACACCGATATTTTTTTACCTTTGGAGATGAGAAGGTCCAGCGTTTCCCTGCCTGGCCCAGGTACCAAAGCCTTATGATGTGGTGTCCAGAATAAAGTGGAGGGTTCACTTCATTTGTCCTTCCTGCTCCAATCTCCTTTTCCTCTCTTTCATTTGACAGTCTTTTTTTTTATTCTGACACGGTTTTCTATCCTTGGCCCCTTCTGCTCTTTTACCTTTCTGCTACTTTCTGCTTATTTTGCGCCCTTCTGCTCCTTTCTCATTCTGATCCCTTTCTGCTCCCTTTTCTACTTTACCTTTGTGCTCCTTGCTGTCCCTTTCTGCTCTTTCTCCTACTTTACCTTTGTGCTCCTTCTGATTCTTTCTGCTCCTTTACCTTTGTCCTCCTTGCTGTCCCTTTGTGCTCCTTCCTGCTCCTTGCAGGCCCTTCCTGCTCATTCTCCTACTTTATGTTTGTGCTCCTTCTGCCCCTTCCAGCTCATTTCTGACCCTTTCTGCTCCTTCTACTTTACCTTTGTGCTGCTTTACCTTCCAGCTCCTTGCTGACCCTTCCTGTTCATTTCTATATATCTATAGGCTGCTGCCCCCCCAAATCTATGGGCTGCTGCCCCCCTCCCCAAATCTATGGGCTGCTGCCCCCAAATCTAAAGGCTGCTGCCCCCCAAATCTATGGGCTGCTGCCCCAAAATCTATGGGCTGCTGCCCCCAAATCTTGCTGAGGCTGCTGCCCCAAATCTAGGGCTGCTGCCCCCAAATCTATGGGCTGCTGCCCCCAAAATCTATGGGCTGCTGCCCCAAATCTATGGGCTGCTGCCCTCAAATCTATGGGCTGCTGCCCCCTCAAATCCTGCTGCCCTATAGGCTGCTGCCCCCTCCCCAAATCTATGGGCTGCTGCCCTCAAATCTACAGGCTGCTGCCCCCCCCCAAATCTATGGGCTGTTGCCCCCCCTAAATCTATGGGCTGCTGCCCCCCTCTCACTTACCTGACCTGTAGGCTGTCTCTGGCTGCATGTGTTGTTCCCCTGCGGTTTCAATCAGCAGAGAGAAGCAGGGATAAGATGCAGCATCCTATCCCTGTCTCTCTATTGCAGTTCATTTTAAATCTCACATGGAAAATAGCAGAACAAACTGAAAAATCCAGGGGCGGCAAGTGCCCCCCCTGCGGACGCCCATGGCTATGTGTAAGTAAGAGACATACAAAGGGGGGGGTTAAGACACACTAAAGAGGGAATAAAATACACAAAAGCACAAAAGGGTTAATACATTCAAAAGAGGGGATATGAAACACTAAAAAGGGTAAGAAAGTAAGAAATTCAGAAGGGGGGGGCGGGTTACAAGACACACAGGTGAAGAGGCACTTTTTTGCGGGGGAGGGTGGGGCGCCAAAATGCATCTTCGCCTGTGCAGCTAAAAATACTTGCACCGGCCCTGCCTGTCTAACACACTTCTTTGTTTCCATGACTTGAATATCATAACCTTGAAAAAAAATGTGCAGTGTTCTCTAATGCTTACCAACTGTTGATGTGTTTTATCTTGTACCTGTATGTGCTGTTGCGCCATTGAAGGTAATTCTGTTCATGCACAACAAAAATAAAGAATTATAAAAAATTTTAAAATAAATCAGTTATTCCCATATACATCCTATAGGTTTTAGATATTTGCCCTATATACTTTTTGTAGATCAATATATATAAATCTGCACATTTTGCCCGCTGCCAGCATGAGCAACTAGCAGGTACACTAGCTTAAAAAATCCTTTACAATGCAATGGTTAATGAATGTTAAAAAAAACCCCCAAAAAACACATATGTTGCAAGAACTCCGGTCCTCTCTTAAAGCTGACCTTAAAAATGGAGTGGATGATATCTGCAAAGAGATTAAGAGTATTGGTGCTCGAACCGGTGCCCTGGAAGCAAGAACCCTCAAACTAAGCCTAGCCAACAACCAATTGGTGGCCAAAATCCACAAGATGGAAGACTGCTCCCAAAGCAATGACATCCGGAGGGGCACCGGAGTCAGTTTGCCATTCTCATGGCACAAAGAAAAGCAAATTTTTCCCTTGATGCCGACCTGTCAGCGCCAACTATTGCCTGAAGGTGTGAGTTTATCAATAATAATAAATCTCCACACAGAAAATCTTAAAAGCTAAATACAATTTTTGTGAATATAACATGTAGTAGCAAAATATTGCTGGAATCCTGAAAATATTGTTACATTTTTGTTCCAGTAATTTCATACTGAGATTTGCATGTTTCATTCTACTGGTGTAATGTCGCCTTATCATGTGATTGAAAGCACAGTAATATGACACATTGATAAGGTCTGAGTAATCTCAATCTGCTTTACACATGTGTATGTAGCGTTTAGCATTCCAATCATTGTACTTGTCCTATTACAAATGTCTGGTACATACTGTTTAAGAGAACGAGTAAGCTGGCCTTTACTCATGGACAAATATTTTTTTTTAGCAATACACATAGGTTTACATTAGGCCATATTTTTATGATTGCTGCACGTGACCTACCATTGTGATCGAATGTACTTCCCTATTTTGTTTGTTTTAGTGGAATTAGTCAATAAAATAAAACATTCCTTTTACGTCAATAAAGTTCTATGTTGTAGGTATATAATTGTACAGGAAATATCCTCATTAAATCTTCTGGTGCTCCTTTCCAAAAGTGAAATCATCAAAGCACTTCCTTTTACAAGGTTTTGTCACATGATGTATTATTTGAGAACAACAAAATAGCTACACAAAGGTGTAATTGTAGTTTGTAAAGATGACGAACATTACCATCTTTTAACAGAATTTTTTTTACATTTTAACACTGCTTAT